CGTGGAGGCCGCCCGCGATGACGCGGCAAACGCTTGACTCTCCGCCAGTAGCCCGAGATGGCTTGGTGCGACCAGCCTCCCCGCTCGCTCCCAAAAGGACGCGGCAAAGGCGTCTGAACGGCCCAGCACAAAGGCAAGCGAGGGCACACACCGGTTCCCTGTCAGTGCCGGTTACTCTCGAGGGGTTGCCAGCGGAGCGCGCCACCTCCACCGGTTCTGGAAGGAAACCCGCACTGCCCACACCCGCCACCTGGGGGCCCCAACACCAAAACTCATTCGCAGCGGTTTCCCCTGGCAAGAAAAGATCCTGTTGCTTATGAGGCAGCTCGAAGCAGCCAGTGACAAACTGCGCCAACTCACCCTCGCGGGGGCACAGCAACGGCCACCACACCGCCGACTTCCACACTGGCAGGACAACCGTCCCGGTCGCCGCCTGGCTCTTCATAAACTCCAGCACCCTGCCCACCAAAGCGAATGGTGGGTTACACCAGTTGTTTTCTTTTCCCCACGCCTGCGAGAAGCAATTCACTGCCTCGGCCCCCGGACACCGAAACAAGAAGTTGAACCGCTTTAGCTGGGCATTCCCCGCCGACGCGAAGCGATCCACCGTGTGTGGGCCCCACTTGCGGTCGAGAACCTCAAACCAGACTGGGTTCAGCTTCCAGTCGTCCCCATCCTTCAACTTGCTGAAGTAGTCGGCAACCTCATTCAACTCACGAGGGATCCAGGACACACTCAACTGCACCTGGTGCTCCTTGCACCACCAGAAAATCTTCAAGGCCCACTCCTGCAAGTGTGCCTTCCGACTGCCGTGATCAACAATACGCTCCGCATTCTGGCTGTCCGTCAGCAAGTGCACTCGCCGCCCTCTCAGCTCTTCCTTCAGGGACTCGAGAGAGAAGAAGATAGCCGCCAGCTCGCGGTTCCCCGACGAAGTACGACGCAAGTCCCAAGACAAGTACCCCCGTGCGACCGGTTGCACTGAGCGTAGCCCTGGGCCTGACACAACACCCGCCCAGCCTGTAGCGCTAGCGTCAGAGTTTACCTCCAGCACGTTGACCTCCGGGGGTCGCCTGATAGGGCTAGTCAGCCGCTCCCGGTCTAGCGACTGCCAAAAGCGTAATTCCTCCCGTACCTCCGGGGTAACCGTGACCTCACTCGACCACCCCCAACGGACGGGCAGCAGGGCTGTCGACGCCCGCGTGAAGAGACGCCCCAAGCGCCCGACTACAACGTACATGCTCACCGCGTGTCCCACGACGCGTGCCAGAGTCCTGGCTGGAATGCTAGGCCGTGCTAAGGCCTCCGTGACCGCTCCCTGGAACGATTCCCAACGGTCTGTTGGGACTACAAACACCCCTT